AAATAAAAAACTTATTTCAAATTATTATTAGTGATTTTTATTTTTCATTGCTATGATTTATAAAAATATTTAATTTTTTTGACTTTTTCTTATTAAGTTGCATGCAAATTAAATATTATAGAGTAAAATATTTATTAAATAAATATGTTACATTATTTTCGACATATACTTTGTTTGTAAAAAATGTAACACTTCTTATTTTATGTTGTTTAAAAAAAGTACATATCTTTTAAAGTTCTCTCTAAAATGTTAACGAAATAAATTGTGTTCTATAATTTTTTAATATTGTTATATTAATAAATAATTCAAAAAATCTAATTAATTTAATATATTTATACGTCAAGTAAATTTTTTTGAACAAATATAATATATTTTTTAAAATATAATATGTTTTTGGTAAAAAAGAAACAATTCTTATTTTTTTTTTCAAAAAACACATATTTTAAAAAAAAAATTAGCGAGATAAGTTGTCTTCTACTAGTTTTATTAATATTGATATATTAATAAATAGTTTAGAATTTTTTAGTTTCATTTAAAATATATTTATTAAGTAACATGAAAAATATCTAAATATTAAAATTAAAAGTACATTGTTCAATAAAACTAGTAGATGTTATAATAAAATAATTTTAAAAGTATAATGTTGTAATAAGAAAGTCACATCACTATAATACATGTGGACAACCTACGTGGACAATGAGGTAACATGAAAATCTGGTATAATGGTTAAATTTAAATCAAAAAGTTATTCAATGTTATAATGGGTAAATTTTTCAAAGTATAATGTTCCAATAAAAAATAGTTTAAAAATATATTGCTATAATGAGAAAAACTGGAAGTACAATGTTAAAATAAAGAAATTTATGAAAGTAGATTGTTATTTTATACATTTTATTCTATATATATATGTGTATAATTATATATAAATTTAAAATATATAAAGTTACTTTTAAAACTCTACCATGAACTTTTTATAATATACACTAGATATTCTTTCCATAAATAATTCAGTGCATATCCATGGTTTTTTCACCCAAGGACCACCAATGTTTCTAAATTTACATATAGATCCTCCAACATATATATTTAGCAATTTAAACACCTTGTCTTTTATATTATCTAAAAGATATTTAAAAAATGTGATTTGTTGACATTAAAGTCTTAAACACATACTTTTATCAGTGTTATACTATTACTTAACTGAATATACTCACAACTTATTTAATTTCATTAAGAACAATGCACAATTCTTTGTCGATATAACAAAATTACCGTGCCACGATTGTTTCAAATACAATCATTATGTCTTTACGGAAAAAGAATTATTACAGTGGACGTAAACTAAAACAAGATTTTTATGGATGATAAGAGTTGTGCTACCAAGGAATAAATGGTTCGATGACGGAAGCAGTTTAGTAAACAGTTTGTTACTAAAACGTTCAAAGTTCATGGTATTATATATATATACTAAATTCAACTTCATGTCTAGTGAAACTCCTGGATTAAGATAGATTCAACTTTGACTGATCAAGATTTGTTCTAAAAACTGATGTTTGGCTTGGATCATATGGTCTTACCATGGTTTTTGCACGTAGTTGATGATACATTTCCCCTTGTTTTAGCTACTTTTTTTTGCCAACTTTAGCTTGAAGTCAGAAAAATCATACTGCTTCCATAATCAAATAAACAAAATGAAGATTACTATTTGAAAAATGATCAGATGGTGATTCAAATTTTGTATAATATTTGTGAGAGTTGTAACAAAAAGACCAACATACCATCAACTACTGATCATCTTGATAGATACAATATTGCTTAAATGACTTAACAAATATCTGTCTCAATTTTTTCCAAAATTACAGTATACTATAAATTTAACTGATAATTTGTGTATTTGGTGATTAATCTAGTTTTTAAAAATAAATCATTTTTAACCACAAGAGTGGTGTCTGATTGGTTTAAACTTGGTTTCAAAAGTCAAAAATACCAGGATGTCACAAGTTCAAATTTAAGGAGGAATAAAAATATTCTTGTGGTCATGGAGATTCAAATGCGGTGACTCCGAGCTATCTGCAAAGCAGATGATTGGTCTGAGATTAGTCGGTTTGCATAGCTGGTTGGATATCCAGGTTAATAAAAAAAATCATTTTGTAAAGCAAAGTTAAGGGACCAAATATGTTAAAATTTTCAAAGAAGGACTAATGTTGTAGAATTTGTAAGAGTTAGAGGCTAATACGTGCAAAGCCTAATCTCCATCTATAAATAAAGAAGCCAATAAGCAAATCATAAGTTGTGTAGGAATTTCTATCTTAGGGTTTGCTTTCGGTTCCCAAATTACCCCCCACCGTTCTAAATTCTGGCCATGGCGTCGACGAAGGTTATCGTTCTCAGGAGTTCTGACGGTGAGACATTCGAGGTTGATGAGGCGGTGGCGTTGGAGTCGCAGACGATTAAGCACATGGTTGAAGATGGTTGTGCTGATACCAGTATCCCTCTTCCCAACGTCACGAGCAAGATCCTTTCGAAGGTGATTGAATACTGTAAGAAGCACGTGGAGACACCGAAGAATGATGATAAGGTTGCTGAGGATGATCTCAAGTCGTTTGATGCCGACTTCGTGAAAGTGGATCAGGGCACTCTGTTTGATCTGATCTTGGTGCGTGTCTTTTACAATTCCTTTTTGCTCTGATGATCTTTTATTGCTTTTTGGTTACGATTGTGCTTACGCTTATTCTGCTTATCTAAGTTTATCGATTTGGGGGAAAACTTTAGGGTTTCGCTTCGTGATGTTAGCTTTGTGAATCTCATATACGTGTTTAATTTATGTGAAAGCTTTTGTAGGTAGCTAGGTTAGTTGTTTAATCCTTTTTTTTTTTTGACGTATTAGTTAACGAATCAAATTAATTTTCTGCTATTTGTTCCCTGTTCTTTTTTCCTCTATCTTTTTGTATTCACACTATGATTTGTTCTCCCAGGAGCCCGATACATTGCAGTAATTGATCTCTGTAGGTGTTGGTTCATTTAAACCATTAAATTTTCCTTGTTCATGTTGCTTCTTGAAGTTTGTGTTTTCCAGTAAGGGTTTTTACAAGGATTTATCGAATGAGTGACTGATGAAATCACTTTATGGAATGAAGTCAATTGTTTTGATTTAGTGAATCTGTCATAAATCTTCCTGAGTTCTGATAGAGAAGATTTATGGGTTCATTTCATCCTTTCTTTAAGATTGCTATCTTGCTAGAGATGCCTGATTCTTAACAGAAATCCAGTCCCTGAACCGTTCTTTGCTATTCTTTATGTTATCCATCCATCTTTTTGAGTGTCTATGCGAACATGCCTGTGTCCACTTCGAAGTACACCCATACCTTCAAAGTTTAATTTCGATTTGTTCAAGAATTATGTTTGTACGACCTGAAGGATCACCATAATTATCATGATCGGTTGGACCAAATTTCAGAACAAACATGATAACAATCTCAAGATTGGTTTGGACCAAGTTTGCGAAGAAAATGATTCATGGATGGCACTCGGACTTTAAAAAACCGTGAAGATGTTATAGGCTATATTCCATTATATACACATGTATTTTGAACGTTAATTTCAAAGTGTTTGGTTGCTTAAACCTTGCAATTGGTGTCTATCATATGTTTGTTTCGTTGAGATGGTGATGTATGAATATGTTGTTGTATCTGTTTTCAGGCTGCTAACTATCTGAACATCAAGAGCCTGCTGGATCTGACCTGTCAAACTGTGGCGGATATGATCAAAGGAAAGACTCCTGAAGAGATTCGCAAGACGTTCAATATCAAGAACGATTTCACCCCGGAGGAGGAAGAGGAGGTCCGTAGGGAGAATGCTTGGGCTTTTGAGTAAACCATGGAAACTGTCTATATTGAGTCTGAGTCTTAAGTACTAGTAGTATATAATGTGGGTGTCTGTTCTGCTTTTTCCATATCAAAACTCATGAATGCACTCCTTTATGGTATCTTAAAACTCTTGTTGTTTTGTGTCATATGGTGCGATGTGATCATGTTTTTTTCCTTTCCTTTTCCTCTGATCCTTCATTTAGGGGCGAATTTTACTCGTTTGGACTTGTATAGATCATCTCCGACCCCTACACTAAAAAGAAATACCAAATTGGTGGTGCCATTAGCCCCTAATATCACGTTTCTGACTCCAACCATCTTCGGCGAATAGACCAAAGTAGATGGGGACCGGCAATCAACCAAAACGTTGTGCATACCGTTTGATTTGGAGTAGTATTAGATGAATCGAAGCGTATGGTTGGAGATGCCCTTTAGAATAGACGGACGGACTTGAGAATAGACCAAAGTAGACCGGGACCGGTAATCAACCAAAACGTTATGCATACCGTTTGATTTGTAGTATTAGATGAATCGAAGCTGCCGAGCAATATTATAATTTCTTAACAATAAAGTATCAAAAGTTAAAATCTATAATGAAATTACCTGAAACTCTTTATATTGTAGAGATCTTGATATTAATTATAAATATTAAAATATTTTATAAATTTATCATCTTAATACGTTTTAAACAAACAAACTTTAATCTATATCTATACTATATTATAAAACATTAGACAAAAATACTTAAAAATCATTTTTAATATTACTCAAAAATTTAAGTTTACAAGTTATTGTACATAAATATAATTTATTAAAACTCTATGTTTGAATTTACGTGACTAACTATAGTAATTAAATATAGAATAAATATTTTATTTTAAATATAAAAAAATTAAAATATAATTAGGATAATCATTGAGTTCTAACAAAATATTTAATTATTATTTTTATAAAAAGTTATATTATTAAATCAAAATTAAATTACTTCGTTATTAAACCTAAACTAAATTATAAAAAAATTGAATTAAAAAATTACACAAAAAAATGAGAAATTTTTAAATAGTTAATTTGATAGCAATATGAATATATATATTTTAAAATTTTATGATATTTTCAAATTTATATTTTATTCAAAAATAAAAATATTATCGTTTTCTCAAAATCACATAAAACCGTATTATAACATCGACAAGGACAGAATAAAACGAAACATTAAAATCAAAATATATCTTACTGCATTGCATGAGTATCCTTCTACTGTAAAATAATAAATATTCAATCTCATTAATAAGAATAAATAAAAATTCATTTTTTCTTTCCTCATATCAAGTTTTAGACATCTTTTAAAATTTAAAGTTTTCTCTAATTTACTTTATTTTAGACTTTAGAGGATGATACAAAATCATCTCCAACATTTTCAACAAACTTCTCAATTTGGAGATTACATTATATTATTAAAATATTCGATACAATTTATATAAAATATTATTTATCTCTTCAAAATATTTAATTTCAAATATTATGTTTAGTAGAAATAATAAAAAAAATTATTTTCTCTTTCCTGGAATCTATTGAAACAAAATAAAAAATAAAAACCTTTTTTTTATTTAGAAAATCTGTTAGAGACGTTCTAACACGGTGGCTCTATGACTCCGATTAGCTTTAGTTTACTAGCTGTAGCCATGGACGAATGCTTGACTAAGAAGAAGAATATTAATATGTTTTGTTTGCTTTAGAAAAAAGAACTCTTATCAACCTTTCATGTCTGATTCATTAAGAGGTATAGTCATTTTTGAATTTTTCAGAGGTATTTATGTCTTATTATTATCTTATATCGTAAGAGTAAACAACATGTTATATGCATCTTATTATTCTCCATACTCTAAGTAGCGACGTTTTACAATCGATTGACCTTTGATCGATCATTTATCTCAATCGATATTTCACCTTTCTTAATTGATGTATTTTAATAGGATTTAAATGTGTTAAATACCGTCAACGACATATTTTCATTTAAATGAATGCTAATTATGTAATTTAGATGAGAGAAGTCGAAAAAAACCCAACAAACTTTCTCATTTTGAATTGTTTAGTCCTGAAACTATTTTTTGAATGAAAAAACTATTAAATGTTCATATTTTAAATGATTAAGACCTGAATTTTTTTTAAATAAATAAATAAATAAACAATTGAATTTTTAGTAGTCGGCTAACGTAACTTCTTTTTGGTTAATGAAATGTAGGTAACTAATTTTTAAAATTACAATGGTTTATTTATTAAAAAAATGTCATGGACTTAATCAATCAAATGAGAAAGTTTAATGGTTTTACTTCATTCAAAAAAATAGTTCATGAACTTGACCATTCAAAATGAGAAAGTTTAATGGATTTTTCATTCAAAAAAATAGTTTACGGATTTAATCTACAAAATGGGATAGTTCGTTGATTTTGTTTAAACTTTCCCTATTTAGATATAAATTTTCATAATAATGATGAATAAATATGTAAAGTTGTATAAATTTTCTTTAAATTCAACACTATAATTTTCTAATGGGTAAAATGGACAATGTAAACAAATTCAGACATTTATCGATTTACAAAAATAAATAGTCTTATTGATTCAGATTTCAGACTTCAACACCACCTTTTATCAACTAGAAGTGAAATAAGACTTCAAACTTCAACACTTCTTAAAAAACATACGTCACTTTAAATTTTAAAACATAATAACATATTTAAAATAATACGCACCACTAATATATATATATATATATATATATATATATTACAAAATAATAGAAGGGTATTCGCATAATGCAGTGAGATATATCTTGATTTTAGTGTTTCATTTTATTCCGTCTCTGTAGATGTTTTTGTGTAATTTCTTTAATTCAATTTTTTAACATGACTTGAATAACATAATTCATAAATCATGTATATAATCAGCTTCTTAAAAATTCGCAGATGTGAAACAATAATGATCTCCTTTCACATTTCCCCCTTCCCTTTACCTTCCACCGCTGCCAGTCCTGTCACATTTTTAAACACAAAATGAGGGCTAGACCACAAAATCTATTGAGTAATTTCCTTGATTGCAATTACAGGATAAAAATCATCAAAACACTTTTTGGAAAACCAGTACTGAAATGATATCAAGTAAATAACATTTTATTGTAACGAACCCCTTTATCGCATCATATAGATGAAACAATCCATTTTTATTGCATCAACCCATAAAGTATCAAACTTATCGCATCAAACACATAAAACATCCATTTGTTGCATCACATTTTGTCGCATCATACACACGTGATGACCCCACTTGTTGCATTTCATTGATGCTATAACATATTTTCCTCGCATCACACTGATGCGATAAATTACTCCTCGCAAACATTTTTCTCACATCATAAAGATGCGATAATACCATCTCATCACATGATAAAGATGCGATAAACCAAACTCATTGCATCATAAAGATGCGATAACAGTTTTCCACATGATCAAAAATCTCATTTTTAACATATAGTTGATTATACCACCCTTATCCCAGTATACGTCTTTCCTGATTATGTCACCCACTCCCCCTTATCCCAGAATATATATGTCACCTTTATCCCAAAATACACATTTTCTAATTATGACTTTCTTATTCCATCTAATTGGTAATAAAATATCAAATCCCAATATTATATTAAAAATAACATATAATCAATTTTCAAAATACCCCACGTATGAAACAGGAAACCATGGTTCATTCACCCAAAAAAAAAATCAAATGATGCTTTTAAAATAATAACTCGCTTTATAAATACAGTAGATTGAAAATCTTAAACAACAATAAATTCTGATAATAAATACGCTTTCTTCCTTTTGTTTTGTTTGAACAAGGAACCAACAGTAGCTTCACCAACTTCTTTTTGTTTTTCTCTCTTGTCTCATCCACCCGGCAAATTCATTTGTTAACCTTTATTATTATGTTAACTTTATGAATTAATCATGACCATTGAACTTTAAAATAAAGGGTTGAGATTAATCATCTTATAAATTTAATTTATTAAATGTGTAGTCTCATAAACATATGTGAACATAATTGTTGAAGGTATTTATGTAAAAGATAATGTGCATTCAATGACATCGGTTACAAACAGTAGAAATCGCTACAAATCGTATATGCTCAATTGTGTTCATAATTGCTTATTGCCACAAGTGTTTAGATATGTTTAATTTGTTCATAATTGTCATAAGTGTTCACATATATGTTTAATTTGTGTTCATAATTGTCACAAAATGTTCTTATATATATATATATATATATATATATATATATATGTATATATATATATATATATATGTATGTATATCAATTTTGTGTTCATATGAGTGTATACATGTTAATGTGTGTACGTCATATTAGGGGTGAGCAGTGGAACCGGGTACCCGGCTACGGAACCGGAACCGCCTTGGAACCGCCGGTTCCGGAACCGAAACCGATATGAGTGGTTCCGGTTCCTAAAATACGGAATCGATTGAGAACGGTTTCGGTTCCCGTTCTCAATTTTTTGGAACCGTTACCCGCCGGGTACCCGGTATTTTTCAATAAAAAAATAATAATTATTTTTTAATACAAAATTTATATTAGGTTTACATCTTGAAAGCACACCGTCATCTTCATTCTTCATCTAAATTCTTCATATAAAATGATTTGTATTTTTTCAAATTGTGTGTTCACTTGGATTCATAGTATGTAATCGTTAAACTTTGAACATTTATCATTATAGTATGTAATCGTTAAACTTTGAACATTTTCTATTAGTCTATTATGGTTTGTAATCGTTAAACAATATTTGTAACCATTATTCTGTATAATTTGTATTCTTGCTTATTTATTTAGTGTTTTGGCAATGTTTTATTTTTTATTTTTAAATAACAAAATTTTAATATTTTAGGAAGCGGGTACCCGGAACCGGAACCGGTTTCCGGTTCCAAAAATTTTAGAACCGCTTTAACCGGTTCCGGTTCCGGTTCCAATATCTCAAGAACTGCCGGTTCCGGTTCCTGTCAAAAAGGGCGGGTACCCGCCTATGCTCACCCCTACGTCATATATGTCAATTTGTGTTCATAATTATCAAAATACTCGCTTTGATTATTTACTTCACTTCCCGATCTCGAACTCCGACTATCACCATAAACAATTTTAACCTTCTCAATATTGTTGTGTTGTTTTCAATGTCTTTATCCATAATTGCTTGAATGATAACAAACACTTTTTTAATGGATCTCCTCCACTAATCACAAATTTATAAATATTAAAAAATGAAAAAAACCACAAGATCAATATTAAAAATGTAAAAATCATGAGATTTTATGGATCTTGTAACTCCCAATTAATGATATAAGGAGTTACAAAAAAATTATTCATATACCCTTAAAATTAAATTCTTAGATAGTGAAGAACTTAATACTAAGATAGAACGTGATTGGTCTAAAAGGATTACAAAATCCATTTTTTATGAATATTTTTATTCGTAAAAAACGATGTCTAAATTGTATGCATGTTTAAATTCTGGTATCATAATTTTATGAATATTTTTATTCGTAAAATAGTGATCTTTTGTAAACATGTTTAATTTCTGATATTATAATTTTTACTAAACATATTTGAATAAATTTACAATCTTTAAATGATAAAAATATTAAAATTAAAAGTATAACTTTGTAATATAAAATGGTGACGTTATAAAAAAATAATTTTGAAAGTATATTGTTGTAACAAGAAATGTCATGTAAGCATTGTCGTACATGTGGACACCCTACGTGGACGATGAGGTGCCAAAGAAACCTGGTATAATAGATAAATTTAATTTAAAATGTTATCCAATGTTATAACGGATAATTTTTGAAAATACGATACCTTAATAACAAATATTTTGAAACTACATTGCTATAATAAGAAAAACGAAAAGTACAATACTATAATAAGAAAGTTTGTAAAAAATAGTTTGTTATTTCGTATATTTTGTTTATTATTTTGAGACGTAGCCAGTAGGGGTGCTCATGAGTTGGGTTGATCGGGTTGAGAACATTTGAACAACCCAACCCAATGCTTGCAGTTTGGAAAAATCTTAACCCAACCCAACCCAACCCAAACCAAAGTGCAACCCAACCCAACCCGTACGGGTTAGTCGGGTTGGTCGAGTTGATACTTTGGTATATTAAAATATTCTTCTAACCTTGAATATGTTATTTCTCAACTCATAATTTCTTTTTCATCATCAACCATTTGATACAACTTATTCATATTTCTTACGTATATCACATTCAGTTAATTTTCTCAATTTACATATATATGTTCATAGTTACTGAATGAGTGATATAGATATATGAATAGATTGAAAATATGTATATATGAAAAACATACATGATAATTTAATTGTCTAATATATATATATGAATAGAAATTCAACAATCATATTAAATCCAAGAAATAAAAGGATATCGGGTTCATCGAGTTGAGTTGAGTTCAAATAATAGTAACCCAATATCAACCCAATACCTACGGTTTGACAATTTTACAACTCAATTAGACATTGGGTTGCTTCGGGTTAAATTATTTTGCAATGGGTTGTGTTGAGTTAGTTTGATTGGGTTTTTGAGCATCCCTAGTAGCCAGTAATAAATAAAAGAGAAAAAATAGAAAATAGACAAACCAAACAAAAGTTGACGGTGACTTTTTTTGTTGGCGATTCTGTTGAGGTTAAAAAGCTCTGAACCGAATTGATTCGTGATGCGAGATAAACCGAACCACTTGCTCGGGAAACGTAGGAAAACCGAGGAAGGTGGGCCCGGTGAACCTCATATCTGATTGGTCCACATAAGAACGCAACCTTCATAAATAACTCTCCATTTTCATTCCATCGATCCACCACCACCACCACCACCACCACTTCTCTTTACCAAATAAATTTTGTCAAATTACATTACATCCAACAGTTCTCCTGTTCAACTTTGGAATTTCTTTTCAATCTTTCACTAGATCAGATGTCTGCCATTTGTTCAAGATCTTCTCTAAATTTCAGAGGGAAAATGGCAGAGATTCTGCCATTGCTGAACAATCATCAAGATGAAGCTGATGAAGAATTGCAGCAGCAGCAGCAGCTCGTCTCAGAGAAGATAAGTAGTCGTAGGATCGCTTCACTTGATGTTTTCCGCGGCCTCTCCATCTTCGTAAGTTTAATCCTCTATTTTATTATTTTAATTTTGAGTTTAAGTTTGTGAATTTCGCTTGAGAGCTTCGTAAGTTGGTGGCTGTGATCGCCTAGAAGTAATTCATTTTTTAATCACACACACACTTCGAATAAGATTGCCAGATACAGGTTTACTTGTTTGACTTTGGGGTAAATGCAAACCAGCCATATATTCTAGTAAAGTTGACATGTATCGTCGAAATTCGTGGTTGGTAATCGTTGAACCTTAGCCCAACTGGTACTGCCTGGATCTCTTGAACTTTGTGGGTTAACATGGGCGTGTATTTCGAAGGTTTTAAAAAAGAAAGTTCATGGTTGATTCATACAATTCAAGTCGTTTAATGTTGCTTTTCTTTAATGCATTTACCAAGAATGTGCTGATTTGCTTCTTTTTTTAGTTAAGTTATTTGAATCGAGTTTTAGAGGCTAATGCATTTACACTTATATAGGGACTATGTATTCTCATGTAGAAACAAACAGGTTGACTCAAATGAGATGAAACACTAAATAACTCAGGTTTACCAATTTGGCTCCAACCAGAGCCATAAATAACAGTTGTCAGAGAACTTCTGTATTTGAAGTTTGGAAACGGAACTGGAGCTAATTCGATCCCAAATATAAAACTGATATTGCTCCAATTGCTATTTCTAAGCTATGGAGTTGGTGTTCTCAAACATGCCCTTAACAAGGTCAAAATAGATATTGCATTACTATTTAAGTATTTATGGTGGGCTGAGGCACATCAAAACATCTTCTTTAAGCAGAAGGTACAACCTTTTCATTTTTACAATGAGATTGACACTTATCAAAGTGACAACCACACCCGTTGAGGTATTAGCACAAAAAAACCAGCTAGGACAGGCCCATACTATGTTGAGGTTTTAATGCTAATTCATCAGATTTTTACTGGTTGACTATGAGCAAGCCTGGAATTAGATGTTAGAATAATGCTTCAAAAAAGAATATTGGATCTTGTTACCTTTTTTTATCTGGTGTTTAATCATATGCTACCATGTAACTATGGTTACTTATTTATTTTCAGCTTATGGTGCTTGTGGATTATGCTGGTTCTAGTTTACCCGTCATTGCTCATTCCCCATGGAATGGTCTACACTTAGCAGACTTTGTCATGCCTTTGTTCCTTTTTGCTGCTGGAATATCTCTTGCGATTGTATACAAGGTGATTAATAAATATATTTTGCTCAAGTCTAAATGTATGATAAATATATTCAACACTAAATGCTGTTTGACCACAAACTGCTTCCAACCATTACCATACTCAGGTAGTCTGTGTAAAGATGGTCTAATGACAATCATATCATATGATTCATCATTTGCTCTTAGTCAAAACCAGAAGCTAATGGCTTATACTTCAGCTCGAATTTGAGTTGTGAATTAGTTATTGCACAATATTTTAAATTAATTAAGATATATGTAACATATGATTCTATAACAGGAGTTACTGAAAACTTGAAACTGAAGTGTCCTTTCTTTCTAAAACAACAGAAAATTGAAAACAAATATGAAGCCACAAGGAAAGCAATAGTCAGAGCAGCGGAACTTTTTCTTCTCGGTGTTTTCCTTCAAGGTAAATATTGCAGGCACATTCCATCCATACTACATGAATTTTCTGTTTGTTGTTCTTAAGCATGCTAGTCTTGAGATTCCAATATGTGCCATGTTTTGCTACCATTGCCAGAATCACTGCATCGATATACCACCACTTACTGCATTCATTTTACTATGTTTGTTCACTTAAAAGATAATTCATCAAAAAAGTTCAAGATAAAGAGAAAAAAGTTGATATAAAAAAGGAGATTGATGAATGATTGAACATGTTAAATGCATATTGGAGACACATCTTATCCTTATATCTTTAACCCTAAGTAATATATTCAATATGTATTGCTCTGTGTTCCATTAAGTATTCAAATTCGACATATGTGATGAAAGAAACATGTACCACAACATTATTCACATAATTTGCAGTGGAGCAGAATAAGAGTAAGATCAAAATTTCAGTTAAACTGAAAATTCTAAAGTGTAAAGAAATAGAAAAGAAGTTGGCAACAATAGTTCCTCAAAACTAACAATAAATAAGGTTCCAATATCATTCAAGTTGTTCTGTTTCAACTTCTATGATCCAATTCATTCTGTATCATGACCTTGCCCTTCTTCTTCTCTCGAAGTTGCACTTATATGTCTTGTTTCTGTATAATTGTTAAGAGGGCATTCTTTTACGATTACATACCAATGGTCACAAATATTGCCTAATGTTCTAATCACCCATAATTATCTTCAGGTGGTTACCTGCATGGGATTACTTCGTTAACATATGGTGTTGATGTTGAGAGAATACGCCTGCTCGGCATCTTGCAGGTGTCATGGACTTGGCCCAATCAATACCTTAGCTTGCTATAATATCTTATCAATATTCATCTGGCTCTCATGCAATTCAGCTATAAAATGTCTCGTGTTAGGATAGAAAAGTTCAGAACAACTCTTGGATAGTAGTATATCCATAGTAGGTGGTGTTAGATGATACTTATTGTCAATTAGTGGTAGAAGTCCTTCGTAGATCACAGATGTTGGTTCCTCAACACAGATAATAACTTCTTGTAATTTCAGTATCATTCCAAGTATTATCTACTTATGATTGCATCGTGTTACTTAGGTTATTTTAGATGCTAGAGTTATATAGGTTTTAAGAGTAAAGTCAACAACTTTTTCCAGAAATCTATGTTGCTAGTTGGCGACTGGTCAATGTGTGCTTTGAAGGATGGAGACGTATATAAGGGAAGCATGAAGTGACCCCACAACCACATCTGGTGATCCAAATGACTTAGATGCCTAATAAGTGGGAAGAAGCGGGGGTCCAACCTAGAAAAATTCAGAAAGATGACTCTAATCAGCTCAAAGTTCTGCCATGGCATTGTTCTGTGTGATAGAATGAAGCAGAATCTTAGTTCTAGGTTACTATTTGCTTTCACAAAAAGTGAGATGGATATGGGTGGGCTCCCTAAATTTATTTTTTAGCTTTTAGTGCCATTTTATGCCCTTGTTGCCAAGTATAGGCTTTGGAGTTATGTAATTACGTTAGGGAGGCTCCACAGAAGAAGTGTATATGTTCTATTACAAGGTAACATATCTGCTCATGTGTGGATGAAGTAATGGGCTGAAGCTCCTGATCTGAAATTTAGAAGAGCTTCCATAGAGTAGCGTAGTTGTTGGACTCTAGATGTAACATCCAGATTCAAGCTGCACCAGACTCTTGACAGAAGAAAACAGGTTGGTTTGCCCAAGGGAAGACCATTAATGTCTGTTTATCCGAGTGGTGAGAGTGAAAGTCTGTAAAAAATCAGGTGGCAAGTCATAGTCCTATGATGGAAATATAATGACTGGAGCGGAAGAACACATTATCTTACTTTTTGGGGACACTAGTTGCACACTCTCAGACCATTGAGTTTGTATGATTACCCTTCCTGCACCACCGATTTGATCCTACGCCATTTAAAATTTGTACTTCCTATTGTGAATAGATTACATTGTTGATAGCATACTACTGTAACTTTTGTTTCTTGGTTCTGATTTTTTCAGTTTTTGTGATAATTTCCAGAGGATAGCAATTGGATACATTGCTGCAGCAGTGTGTGAAATATGGCTTTCCCGTCAAACCTGTCAGAAGGCAGCATTCTTCAGGAATTATATTTGGCACTGGTGAGAACATATATAGTACTAAAGCTAACCTCAGGCAGTCAGGCTCTTTTTTGGATAAAGGAAGGCTAACCTCAGGGCTCAGGCTCGAGTAATATAATATCATCCTTTGAATAGAAGCTCTTAACTTGCCATCTCTTTAGTTTGATATCCTATTCATTATGTGGAAATATTGTTTATGGTCATTTAGTAGAAAACACATACAAATGTGAATATAGACTCTCAGCAGAAAGCTTTAGAAATTGTCTGTTTTATGTGGCTGTATCCTTTTATTAGCTGCAAATTTCACAAATAGCACTCAGTTAACTACCTGTTGCGTCTTTCCATCAGCTGCACGTTTCCCAAATTATCTCCCAAATGTTTTTTTTGTTCATTATCAATGTTGTATCAAGCTATAGCATGCTAATACTATCTGTTGCCTAATTCTTCAATCACTTAAACTGAGGTTTGCTGTGGTCATGCTGATATAGTCTTTATAACTTCTGACTATTGTTATGAGCCCCAAGGGAAGAAAATGACAGCAGCCTCATTTTCTTGTACCTTAAACTAGTTAACACCCCACAAATTGGATGTCAGTTAAAAGATTGCTTCCAATGAAGCTGTATAATACATTATGGACTTGGTGAATTGCATTTTAATATATACATCCAAGAGGATGGTAAAATTTATTTTTGGATACAAAGCTCTGCATTGTTCTTATTTTATTACCTATATAGTGCAAATATCATATTCCACTTAGTATTTGTTGCTCATATCATATTCCACTTAGTATTTGATGCTCAAACTTCACTGTTCGGTAGATTATTCTCAGGAAGTGGCAACGAAGTATTGGCTGCTTTTTTTTCTTCAGAAAAAGCTGTATGTAGTTTATTAAAAGAAAAGTCCTAATCATCACATATGATCTTGTGAAGTATCATGAGGCCATGCTGTCTCGAAAACTCAATGCTTCTATATCCTAACAGTTCAAGTTGATATTATGACGGTTGTTTTACCTTCTAAACAATAAATATTTTATTAGCAAGTACCCTGTGTTTTCCTTGTGAACTTCCAAAACTGACTCCAAATTTGGCATACACACAAGCTATTAAAGTCAGACTCCTGCACCCATTACAGGTCAAATAAACATCGAACTTGTTCAGAGCTTTACACTATGTACTTCACTACTGAAATAATTGTTAACTATATGTGTGTGTTTGGGTAACTATTTGAAACTATATCATCTTTGTGCTGTAGGTGTGCTGTCTTTTTCTTGTCTGCCATCTACATCGGATTGACATATGGCTTGTACGTTGCAGATTGGCAATTCGAGGACTTGAATTCATTTTCTTCTTTAATGTCAGAAAATGGAAGTACTATTCATACTGTATGAACACTCTCTTGTTCTTCTCATTTCTCTTGTCACTGCCCTTTATCCTATTTGCTTAAATTCCATATAATTGCTCTCCAACTCTATTGATTAAACCAAACCAAACGGACTCGGTATATCCCACCCGGAGGTGGTGTCTGGGCAGGTTAAGATATAGGCAGACATGCCTCTACCTCAAAGAGTAGAGCGGCTGTTTCCTTGAAGACCCCAACTTGTGAAAAGTTTAGAGAAGATGGATATAAGTAAGCAAAATCAATACAGATAGAGGCAATTACAGGAGCAATGTAACACTTAACTACGACTCACTAACCCTACCCCCTACCCTCTATCTCTCCAGCTTTCTTCCTTCCATCTAGAACTCCTATATGTGAGCAGCTTCTTAATGTGAGGAAGATATCTGGGGAAGAAAAGCAAACATTAGTCTCCACAATTGAAATCAAAGAGAATATGCTTACATATATGTGCATAATGCACTCACTTACAGGGCCGAAGCCCAGCAAAATGTTTTAGGCATTCTAGAAGAGAATAGAAGGGGTACTTGTTTAGTAGGGGTAAGAAAGGGAATCGTCTTCTTAAAGCTGTCATGCCATGTAATGAATAGGTACTGCTAGTAGGGAGAAAATCATCCAGGAAATGTTGAGTCTGTTCTTTGGAAAGTCTAGCCTCTCAAGAAGCTAGTTTCCTACCGTTTTCTTGTTAATAGTACACGACCCCTGTTCCTACCAATTGGTTTTAGATCAATTGATAATCTACTCGGTTCATAATAAATTTGTTGCCTAGAATGGTGAATGAAGAATAAAGTACTAATGTTTATCAGTCACTACTTCTTGCTATTTGGTAAGAAGTTTTAGTTTATGATTCTTGTTTAGGGAACAAAACTCAGTAACAGTTCCATATGGGTGTCTTGCGTATAGGTGAAATGTTCCATTAGAGGTGATCTTGGGCCTGCCTGCAATGCTGCTGGAATGATAGACCGATATGTTCTTGGCATTAATCATCTATATCAAAAGCCTGTTTACAGAAACCTGAAGGTATTCTACTGCAAAGATACTGTTCTTGATTTGTAATTTGACACTATGCAGTCGATCATCGTCTGTGTACTCTATATAATATTATAATGCATGTACAGGAATGTAATATATCCAAGGGTGGCCAAGTTCCAGAATCTTCACCTTCATGGTGCTATGCCCCTTTTGAGCCCGAAGGCATTTTAAGGTAATTTTCACAAAAGATTCATTCCCTCAGGGAAGATACAACCGTTTCACATGCTGGTAAAGGGCCATTTGGTCAAACTCACCATTCTGCCTTCTTTTTACATGGAGAATTCTCCCTCCTTCTCTTCGTTGTCCATTTCAAATTTGAATGTCAAGCAAACTATTTCTCTTCTAAAATTGATGCGAATATATTTAAGTTTGAAGAAAAAGATTAGTTATTACATCAAAAGGTATAGTAACTGATATAAATACAATAGAATCAGTGTTAAAACTGTGAAATTATATTGTAATTATAGTTCTGCTAAATACAAGTTTGAAATTCACTGTCAAAAAGGGACCTCTAATAGAGAACCAGTGAAAAATAAAGTTTTGACCAAATATATATTATCTGGGGCCTTGATCCTCAAACTTCTCTTTTTCAAAAATCAGTTGCTTAATTCTATTGAATCTGTACAGCTAATGACATAGTTGCGATTGTGGATCTGCAGTTCCTTAACAGCTTCTGTGGCCTGCATAATTGGACTTCAATATGGTCACATTTTGACCGAATTACAGGTAAATATCATTTCCTATCGGTGAATATTTTTCACCATAGGTGAAATATTGCATGTCATTTAACACATTTTACAAATCAAACCAAACAAACCCAATATGACCCACCTGGAGGTGTAGTATGGAGAGAGTAAGATGTACACAGACCTGACTTCTATTTCTACCTCAAAGAGCAGAATAGTTGTTTCCATGAAGACTCATTTAATGCATTTTCTCAAGTACACTTTATCATCCTTAGTGCATGATGGTAGGAAACAATGCTCGAGTATTGAGAGTGGTGTTATTCAGTATGTCATTGAGCAACTTTTTGAAACTTTAAAGCTCCATTTCTCCGGTTTTTCAACCTGTAGCATGTTATCTATTCCTTAAAACTTGCTGATTGATATGACTAGTGTCGTATAACATTTTGTTGCAGGGCCATAAAGATCGACTTTGCAACTGGTCCCTCATGTCAATTTTGTTACTAATTCTTGGATCCTTACTTGCTCTCATAGGTATGCTTTTCGACTCCATTTTCAGAATCATGAGACTTGAGAGCGTAAATAATCTACACTAGCGACTTAAAAGATGTGGCATCTATGAGTTAATTTAGGTGCCATTTACCAAACGCTTACTCAGTAAATGCTTATCGGATGGCACTTACCTTATTGAATGTGCATGAAAAGTATCAAAAATCTTATCTGGTAAAAGCATAACAAAGACTGAAAATCTTACCCCATGAGGGAAAAGAACTCTTATATAGTAAGCGCTTACCGGGTAAAACACACTTACCAACAATCCATTTTGATGGCCAAGGATGTTACCTGAAAAGGTAAAGTGAGGGTGGTAACCTTTGTTGATAAGTGCTTACCGGGTAAGCGTTTGTTAAACTGCGATTAGTTCCCACGCAATTCTGCATCTATTGTTGTCCTGCTGTTAAAGCCATTTACTGCAGAAAAATAGTGCACCATGAATTTCCTCATGTTCTCAACTGTAGATCTATTACTAGCATATATCAAAAAGGACAAAAATGTACCATCTCTTTACTTATTACTTGTTTGGACATTAATATATTTAACTTTTTGTAGTTTAAGATTTAGACATGAATATATAAAACTTTTTGAGGGAAAACAAATAACTCGATAGAAAATGCATAAAGAATCGGTCGAAAAGCTATAGAAGAATAAAAATAACTATAGTTTTAGTATATACACATACGACATTCAAAACTCAAGTCGGATAGCCAATAGATAAACGGGATGCATAACCCCTACGCATGAGAACGAGTAACGTAGCCTTGTACTTACAGTATGAAGGTTTATCATGAGAACTCTCAGAGTGACCTTCACATTATATGATATAGCCTTCACAACACACAGTTAAATGTGGTGTGAAGGTTACAATCTTCATATATATATATATAGACTTGGGATCATGTGAGACCAGCCTGTTTTCGTGAGACCCATGAGACCAACATTTTACACTTGAAACTTCACAGCAAAATGCTGTGAAGGTGACTTTTTAAA